GCATCAGTGCCGGGCCTCCCCCCCTCATCTGGGGATTCGGAGCAGCTGGTGCGTGCAGGCAGCCACCGCTGGGGAAGGAGGGCGCCCGTAGCCAGCAGGGCTGGTGGCCACGGATCGCCTCCTCCCTCGTGGGTCTGCCCAATCCCCTTTGGAAGCCCCACGTCCCGTGGCAGCCCCACGGCCCGTGGCCATGCACCCCATGAAGGCGCCCTTCCTTGGATCCGTCCCAAACCTCCCACCCACACGCTCCGTGGGGGGACCCCTCTGGGTCCGAGCGTTATGGGGAGAGAGCAAACCGACCCCCTCCGCGCTTCCTCCACGCCCTCCATGACTCTGGACTCCGCCATCCCGTCTCCGCTCACTGGCCTTCTCTCGACAGAGCTGAGCGCGCCAGGTTGCCCTAGCTGCGGGTCGTGGGGGAGCCGCTCCGGTCCTTGATCAGGCCCACCAGGACGACTGTGATGCTCTCTGCAGGGGGCTGCCCACGAAGACTGCCCAGGAAGAGCCCCCTGTTCAAAGTACAGGGCTGCTCACCGGCCTCCCCGAGAACCATCTCGGCTGCCAGGTGCTGGACGTAGGCCCGGGATCCTTCCCCAGACATTAAGACTTTCCTCAGAAACCTGGTCAAACTCCCCCCCCCCCCCATCTAATGGAGAGGCAACAAGGCAGGGTGTTGTGGCCCCCCATCTTTGGAACTTCCCACTCTGGCCTCTATATTATAGCACTCCTCCTGATTACATTTAAGCAACATTTTAAAATGGCTTTTATTTTCTTCAGCTTTCCAGGGTTTTGTTTTTTAAAATATTATTTTAATGCTATTTACTGGCTGGATTTGTTTTCTATCTCATTTTTCCCCAGATAGGTTCAGTATGGATGTATAATGTCAAGCAGGCCTACTCTTTTGGAAAGGTTGGCTGCCTGAATTGGAAGTCCTTGAGAAAGAGGAAAGGTCAAAAGATTTTAACAACACGAATAAGGATAGAAAGAGTTGTTGTTATTGCTATTATTGTTGCTACTGTTGCTATTTCTATATTGCATTTATAGGGTGTCTGTTCTCCTCTTGTGAGGGACCCAAGGCAGAGTACATGTTATCTTCACAACAACCCTGTGAGGTTGGGCAGTCTGAGGGTGACTGGCCCAAAGTCACCCAGTTGACAGTGAAACAAATATTCGGATCAAATATTTAAAATGTTTGGTCTGATTAGTTAAAGGGCATTTTGCTCTCAGTCCCAAGAACCATTAATGCTACTGATAAGTCAATGAAACGTGGCAATTCCACCGGTGCATCTCGGAATTTGTGAGTGGGCCATGGGCTTTGTCAGGGTGGCGGGTGGCGTATGGGCCGTTCCCTTCTGTGTGAGCCAGCAGCTCCACGGAAGCCGCCCCACTAAACTCCGTGGGACTTGGTCCTGAGCCGCAGTTTGTAAAGCACACTGTGATTTTATGTTGAAAAGATCTCGAGCTGGCAGAAACGCAGCCCTGACTTTCCACAGGAAGCGCAACACACCTTGGAAAGAAGTCTTGGCAACAGCAAAGAACTAGGAGGAGAAACATGATTTCCAATTGATGGGATGGTACAAAGACATTTGGAATATAGCAGCTAAGGGCAAGTTGATGTACAAGATAATGGCGGAAAAAGGCTTGGTAAAGAAAAATGATTTTAATAATTTACGCACTATAACGTTACAAGAATAATACATGATTTTAATAATATTATTGTATGTTTATTCAATATTTAGTAACAAAAGGGGAGGGTAATAAACCCTCAAAGTATTTATTGCAATTTTGGTTGGAAGATCTTAGAAAGAGCAGAAAAATAAAAAACAAAAAATTAGACAGCCATGGTCCTGGTGGAGGGGTGGACTAAGGGTGATATCTGTTTTTTTTAAATTTGAGTTGTGTATTGAGGGTTTTTTCTTTAATACATGACTTTTGTATTTGTTTAAAATTTAAATAAAACAGTTTTTAAAAAGAAGTGTTGCTATGTAAGTTGGTGCCATCCATCCTTGTGGACTGCAGAGCGGAAAGGTGTCCAGGCCCAGGTCTTCTGCTAGCAGCCGCTGGGATGCCGGACCCGCTGCGTGCGCCCAGAACATCGTCAGCTCTAGGGAGAGACCGGCCTGGCCACTGGCAGTGTCCCCCTTCCTGTGGGAAAGCATCGTTCGCTCCAGGTGCCGGTGGCTGGGGCCCCAATCCGCACCCTTTTCCTCCACTGCGTCTCTTTGCCTTTCTAGTCTATAAAGCCCCCAAAGAGGGATACTCGTCCTTGCATGGATGGAAACTTCACTGGAAGACCAATTTCCTGAAAACTCGGAAAAACATCCGGCCAGTTAATAAGTTGGCAGGAAAGAAAAGTGTAGCCAGCCTGTTTCCGGAACCTTTGACTTGGCCCTGGTTGATTTGGCCCGAAAGCATCCCAAGGACAAAACCCCCCTGCTCTTCAAATTCATTTTCCAGAGCAAGGCGCTGGCCATTGTTCCCGTGCCCCGTAGCATGTGGGATCATGGCCCCTGCTCTGAAAATAAAGCCCCCGGCCTCCGTTTCCCTCTCTCTGCCAGGGGGATTTGACTGCCAGACATGTGGATGTTCCAGGAGGCCGAGTGATCACTCCCTCCAGGTCCGGTCCAGCCAAGACCTCACCTTGAATTCAAGGACAGAAACAAAAGCACCTGCATCCAAGCGGGCACACAGCGTATCGCATCCATCCAGATGTGAAGCCGCTTTGTCTCCTTCGCTACTGGGAGCGCCTAATGAGTTCCGTTGGCTGTACTATAAAGCCCTAAATGCTTGGCTCCTGGATACCTGAAGGAGCGCCTCCTTCCCTATGTGCCCTCCCACCCCTTGAGATCTGAGGCGGAGGCCCTGCTCCTGGAGTCCTCCTTGAAAGAGAGTAGGAGGGTCTCCTGGAGAAGGGCCTTCTCTGTGGTGGCACCCCGACCATGGAACACACTTCCCAGAGAGGTTCACCTGGCGCCAACGCACCTTTCTTTTCAGCACCAGGTGAAAACCTTTTTATTCTCCCACTATTTTAATTGCTAATTTGTTTTAATCTGTGGTTTTACACCTATTCCGGATCCTGTGCTGCTCTTACTATTATCTGTATTTTGTTGTTGTTGTTGTTGTAAACTGTCCCGATGGGTCAGTATACAAAAGTTTTAAATAAATAAATACTGACCCACAATCCATATTCATCAACGCTTGTAAATTCCCTAGGAAATTCGTGCCTTGAGTATGGGACAAACACAGAGGCCAACATGGCACCTGAGCACCCTCTGCCCTTCCTGCGAAGTTCACGATTCAGACATCCCCATATACATCTATTATATTCACAGCCCACCTTTTTGCCTTTCAAGAAACTTGAAAGCGACTTGCATAATTTACTTGCTCCTCTCAAGCTTATGCCCACAACAACCCTGTGAGGTAGGCTGGGCTGAGAATCTGTGACTGGCCCAAGGTCACCCAGTGGGCTCCATGGCTGAGCGGGGACTCGAACCCAGACCGTCTGAGTCCCAGTCCTGCACCACCCTGGCTTTGCAACCCAACTGCCAATGGATTTTATTTGGATACAGCTACTTATAATTCTTAGCTCATAGTTTTAATTGGCTTGTATCCTTTCTGGTTAGATTATTGTGATAACCAAATCAATGTGCTAAATTTTAGCTTATTCAAATTGTATATTTTTGAGTGAGATGGCCCGTAGACCAAAATAGTTTACTGATTGCTTGATATTAAGTTCACTGCCTGAACTTGTTTCTAATTTTTGTGTAAATAAGGCACTGGGAACTTCAGCAGCATTTTTCACCTAAAAAATATTCACAGTGGGCAAGACTGCAGAAATGCAGAAGTGGATTTGAAAAATACTGTATAAACAACCAAACTAAAATACAGGTTTCAATGTAGCATTTTGACCTCTGTAGCGCTTTTGAAAGCATTTTAAAATTTTTCAAATTAACAATGCTCTTTCTCCTACAATAAAATCTGAACTAGACAATACAAGTGCTGCTTTCTTGCTCTCTGTTCGTTCTGGCATGCAACTGACCAAGCACAGCAATGCTAAATTTTTTTAGCATTGTATTTGCCCCAGCCTGCTCTTGCTTCTACGCAGGGAGTGACCCCAAATAACTTCAGATGGAACCAGGAAGTTCTGTCCATGCAGAGTTGAATAGTGACTCTGAACATTTTCTACCTCTAGCAATGTCCGCACTTCCCTCCCATACTTTCCTCTCACTGGCTGCAAAATCAGGACTGTGTTATTGCAGAAGCTGCAAAATGCGAGAGCGCTATTGGATGGCTTTGCAGCGAGGGCCTTTGGCAGGGGTGATGCTTCTGCAAAGACGCAGGGCTGGGTCCCACAAAAGGCACAGCCGACAAACGGGTAGCACATATACGAAGCAGGAACAACCACAAACAGGTGCAGAGATCTTCACGTGCTCTGTCAGTGCACATGTGTGCATCACCAAAGGCCCGTGCTTCCTAAGGACACAGCTGTTTGTGCAAAGCAATGTCCGGCAGGGAAGAGGAAGGCAACGGATTTGGGCGTTGGGGGACCCAGGCACAAAGGTTCCAGGAGGCAAAACGCGAAACCAGCTTATCCAGGAGATCAGATGCAATGGAAAAGTTCGGGGCTGCTTATTTCAGCCAAGGCCTGGCAGAGATTCAGGGCTCCCTGCAAAAGCTTTGGGCCTCTAGCCCTGGTGGACCAGCTCTGGGCTTTGGGATGGCTGCAGGGTCACGACAGCTGTCTCGGAAATTGGGGGTGCTTTGCAAAAGGAAGCGGGGTTAATCGCTCAGCCATTTGCAGGGCTGGCTTGTGCTGGAAAAGGCAGATTTGCTCACCGTGATGCTTGAACATCTCTCCAAAAGGAGACAGCGACCTCTGCGCACAAGATACAGAATCGACAACGAGTCTTGTGTGGTCCTTTGAAGGCAAACAGACTAACAGTGCAATTAGAAGTACTGCTCTGCTCATCAAATTTTTTGCCACACATAAACCTGCAAGATTTTAAGGGGACAAAATGTTCTTTGTTTAATCACCACACCTTTCCAACGTTTGCCCAAGGTAGTGTTTATATCCATAATCTACAGCGCAGCACATACCTGGGTAAGGAATGATTGTGTGAAACACGGAATGGAGTGCTTTGGAATGGCCCCTTTAGAAAACAAATGGTCACATAAATAGAACAGATACATTGGAGAAAGCTGGGAGCAATATTTTGGAACAAAAATTAAAACAAAGCTTTTATTAACTGCTTCCCAGTTAGAACTCCTCTGGAATGGAACAGAATAAGCTGGAATTGGGAGGTGATGATGTAAAAATGAAATAAATAAATACACATGTTGAACCGAAGGGGAATCATAATAAACCAGCCGGAATGCCTTGTTCTGATGCCTCCAAAACTGGTCTGGCTCCGTATTGTTCCAGGAGTTTCCATCAGATGGCGTGATAACAGCTTGTCTCAGTTTGATCTCATTTCTTGCGTTGGCGTCTTCGGGGCCAAGCAAGGGGGCAGCTGCTGGTGAGGTCTGCAGCCCAGAGTGGCAAAATTATTTCAGTGACATCTTGATTTAACGGGGTTCCTACAAGATAAGAAAAAGGGCCGTGGATGCTCCTGCAGGGAGCAGATCTTAGGCTTTTGCTAAACCGTTCGCAGAAAGCTTTTCCTGCTTGCGCCTGTTGTTCCACGTGGGAGGAATGCGAGCCACGGAGAGGTTCGTGGCATACAGTGTCAAAGTCAGACTAGAGCTCGGGGCCCCTCCTCTGCTCCCCACTCGCTGGAGGACCTCAGGCCAGCCACTCGCTCTCGGGCCGACCTCCCTCGCGGGGCGGCTGTTGCTGCGAGGATTAAACGGAGCGAGGCCAGCCGCCCCCGCTTCCACGCGAGAGGAAACGGCCAGCGTATCGACGCGGTGCGATGCGGCCATAACGGGGCTCCCGGGCCGCTCCTTGCCCAAGCGGGCGCCCTCCGGCGGTGCGGGGCTGCCGCGCCCACCATCCGCAGCCGCCCGGGGTCCCCGCAGTGCCCCGCGTCGGCCCGCTTGCCGGAGGAGCCCTTCCGCGGCTCCGAGCCGGGCTTTGCCCCTTCCCGAGGGGAGGGCGCTCCGTGGCGCGGCGCGGCGGAGCGGAGCCGCCTCGCCTCCCGGAGCCGCCGCCGCCGCCGCCGCGAAGATGGCCTCGCGCCTGTTCGAGGGCAGGGCGCACGCCGCCTTCTACCAGAAGTACCGCTTCTCGCCCCCGGAGAACCTGCGCGGCGCCGTCTTCGCCTACCTGGGCGGCAAGGCAAGCGCCGCGGGCGGGGCGCCGGGAAGGGCGGGCGCGGCGCTTCCCGGGGCGCCTCCCCGCGGCGGGGGCGCCGACGGTCGGGGCTCGCGGGGCAAGCGTGGGCCCGGCGGCCCCTCCGAGCGCCGGGGCCGCCGCTGCTGGGTCGTACCCGGGGGGGGGGGCGCGGGCAGCGGGCGGCGGGGCCTTCTGCCCG